TTCCTGCATGTGTATTCACGTTTTTGCATGAGATGGTGCAATATGGCATTTTGACTATATATGGTTCTGTGAAATTTTCAGCTTATGGCTTCCTCGCCAACTGCTTTGCCTCTGAAACTGCAATATGGTCCTGAGGACCCTAACTCGGCCAAGGTTTGGCTTGAACGCTGGACAAGACTTCAAATTTGGGCACCTAGTTCCCGATCAGCCAAGACCCCCATTCCAAAACCGCCTCGGACAGTTGACGCGGAAAAGGGAAAGCAGAAACGTGGAATCAAGAAACCATCTGGAGCAAGTACTGAAAACAGCTCTGGCCGCTCTACAGCTGAAAATGGAAAACCTAGACGAAACGTGAGGATAGCTTCCACGCTTAACAAAGAGATCCCGAGAATGGAGAATGACAAGGTCAAACAGAATTCAAGAAAAACTATTAGCTCCACTAAGGACGAGAATCCTAGGCCTAGTGTTAAGAAGGTTTCGAATACTCCTCTTTCAAGTGGGTCAGAGAAAGTGACCCACAAGTCTGCTGAGAAGAAGGAGAAGAAGAAGAAGGAAGAAACGACAGATTCAGTGCAGAGAGAGCTGGATGAAGCTCCAGCATCTCTTTCTGACGTTCCTGGGGGAGCCACGATGGAAAAGAAGAACAATTTTCCCGATGCTGTTTCAAGAGATTCTGATCTCAATAATGATGAGAAATCGACAGTTCTGGAAAAACCTGAGCAAGATGAACTCAAAGCTGTTGAGAGCAGTGGTCAAGCTGAGGATGTCCAAGGTGCGAGTGTGCAGCTATGCTCTGAGAATGGCGATGCCGCTTCTGAGAATACAAAGCCAAGTGATAGACGAGCTTCATTGCCTGCAAAGATCGAGAATCAAGATGAAGGGCTCACACGAAAACTTCCCAGCTACATGGCACCGACTGAATCTGCAAAGGCCAGAGTGAGGAGACAAGGCACTCCGAGGTTTGCCCAAGAGAGGATCGAGAAAAACGGGATAGTGCCTGTGAGGCGCCATTCTCTGCCATCCCCGAGGGCGCATCGACTGCTTTTAGCCTCAGTGAAAGGATCTATGAACAGCGATGGATCTTTTTCGTCTTCTAAGGACGTGGGTGGTAAGCAGAACTACTAGCTTTACACTGCATCTGCTTCAAGTTTTGACATTTCTGAACAAATTTTACTTCAACTTCCAATTTTTCCAGTGGAATCTATCTAGTAGTAACGCTTTCTTGCATGATTGTTTCAGATAATTCGATCAGGGCAGAGTGGAAAAGGTGAAAGCTTGAAAGCAATCCAAGAGTCATATCTTATCATCTTACGCTTATCCAACAAACTTGAAACGTTTTATGTACGGTGTCTTGCGTGTTTGGTTTTGGTTTGGAGAGTCAAAAGGGTATTTTGTCAGTTCATTACACACCCTTTGATATGTCTCTCCAGTTTACTTACTCAGATGTTTGTCGACAGAAAAGGATACAGACTTACAGTAAATAGTTCATACAGGCCTCCGGAAACATGCATTTTTGTTCTTGAATTCTGGATTTAGTGTTTTCCTGTATAGATTTCCTTTTAAGACAAATCTCAATGCATATTTGTTTATTCAGGAATCAGAATTACACACATACAAAACATAACTCAAAAGCTGGGCCCTTTACACAATACAATAGCAGTATTACAACAAAAACTGAAAGAATTCGTCTTTCATCTTATGACACGGGGAGAATGATTGTAAGGCTGCAAAGGCATCACACCGGAATCTACATGCAACAAAGGCCGGTTCTGACTATACCTCACCGGAGATTTCTGTACACTAGATGCATGAACTTGGTTAGATTCCATCTGGGCATGTTTGGTTGCAGGTTTAACAGATTCAAGCTGCTCAAGCTTAGCCAAAACCTCAGACATTTTCGGCCTGAGCTTTGCATCAGGGTTTAAGCACATCAGAGCAAGATATGCAGCTGTGAATGCCCCTTTCTGAGGGTATTGGCCCCCCAATCTTGTATCCATTATGCGGAATAGCTTACGTTTATCGCCGAGATAAGGTGTTGCCCAGTCTACGAGGTTCTGTTCTGTTCCCACTTTTGATTTGTCCACAGCTCGTCGCCCACATAATAGTTCAAGTAGTACAACACCGAAGCTATATACATCGCTCTTTGCTGTTAACCGACCTGTAAAATGAAGACAACTTCTCAGTGGATGAAAGAAGTGAAGTCCCATGACTCAAAAGTTCAAAGCGTTTGAAGCATTCTTGAAGAGATAAAAAATTTTAAAGCATTTTTAGAACAAAAACCTGTAGCAACGTATTCGGGGGCTGCATAACCGTGAGTGCCCATGACTTGAGTGGAAACGTGAGTCTTGTCCCCGGTAGGACCTGCCTTGGCCAGGCCAAAATCCGAGAGTTTTGCATTGAAATCCTGCATTTAGGTCAAGCTGGAGTGATTAGAACGTTATCAGAAAGCATTCCAAGACAAAAAAAAAATTCTGTTATAGTTTCTGGTTTATTACAGCATCAAGTAGAATGTTAGCCGCCTTAAAGTCCCGGTATATCACTTGTGATTTCGCTTCGTGAAGAAAGGTAAGTCCTTTGGCTGCACCTATCGCTACTTTCATCCTTATCGCCCATGAGATTGGCTGTGCCCCACCTGCGATGCCCCAAAAAGCATCAACAGAGATTGGGAAATGCAATGCAGAAAGATCACAACTTTTGGTTTGACAGTGAGATGAGAGAATGAAGATAATTACGTCTGAAAAGATGATTCTCCAGGCTTCCTTTCGGCATGAACTCATATACCAGAAGCCGGTTTTCACCTTCCAAACAATACCCGAGTAGCTTAACAAGATTCGGGTGACTGAGTTGACCAAGGTAGTTCACTTCTGCCTGAATACCGGTATCCATACACATCAGACGGTGAATGTTATGGTGAAGAAAGATGAAAAGAGGAGGGGGGAAATGCCATTACCAACCACTCCTTGTGACCTTGCAATCCCTCTGGTCTAAGCTTCTTAACAGCAACGACAATTCCAGAGCCAGGTCTTGAAGCAGTGAAAGTGTTGCCATCGATCCATCCCTTAAAAACATATCCGAAACCTCCCTCGCCCAGAAGACTGTCCGGTCTGAAGTTCCGAGTTGCGTTCTTAAGCTCGTTGAAGGAGAGAGCTTTCAGATTTGGTGATGATAGGATCTCTCCTTCTGTCCTTGGCGTCGACAAACCTTCATTAACCATGCCACATTTCAGTCCAAAAATAGCAATTCAACTTATTCAAACAAATCTTAGGAGTTCAATTACGATCAAACACAAGGGAAAGTTGATGTTCGTCCTGGAACAAAAGGTCAACCAATTTCACTCAATCTCTTGAACCCTCTGGTTGTTATGCCAGTCAATCCCTACAATAGCAACTTAACGAATACCAACGATCTACAAAAGGGGAAAGGTGTAAATCCGGCACGGGAAATGGAAATTCAGAAGGCCTGTGTTCAGGGAACCCAAATCGGAAATAAAAAAGAAATATCGAGTAAACGATCGCAGATGAAGGAGACTGAATGAACCAAGAAAGAAGAAAGAAAGCAAGAAGCTTGAGCTTCAAATAAATAACAGAAACTTACCAGAACTAGCATGGGGGTCGTGGCTACTGCTATCTACTTTAGCTGATGAATCTAAGCAATTACCCATTGTCAGATAATCCCACCGAAATTTAGAAAATGACCGAAACCTCGAACAGACAAAGCTCGTCTCTTTTCAGACAATAGAGCAAATACCAGAAAACGAGAGATTGAATCCACCCAGTTCCTTCGCGGCTCAGGCGCTAATGACGATAAAAATTCCAAGAAGAACAACAGAAGGAAAAAAAAACAGGAGACAAAGGGAGGATGGAACAAGGGTCGTGAAGAACAGAGAAGCGCACCACAGCAGCAATACAAAGCCGCATAAGGCAGGACGCGAATTTACGATCCTACCCTTCTATCACGTTCCACTCGTGGCTTTTCCGTGGAAATGACCAGAGAACCCTTATGCTCCGCGGCTTTTTGGGCATTCTCCCGAACAACAAAACTAGGGACAGCTCAGTAATTTACAAGAGACTTGGTTACGTCATGCTTGCGTTAGCAGATCCACGTAACGATTTTCACTCGGCCAGTGAATAATTACACTTTCACCCTAATTGTTCTCGTAATTTCTAATGAAAGTTGACTTTGGTAAAAAAGAACATACGGCCAAAATTATTTACTTAATATCTATACTTTCCTATATAATAATTCGATATTATTTATTGAATGAATTCGTTGTCAACTTTGATCAATTATTATGAAATTAATATTTTTTTGTAATATATAATTCGTCCACAAAAAATTGAAATGTTCATATGCTATGATGATTGATGAGAATAATACTAACAAGCAGAGACTATGGGGGCCACGGGAGAGGATGGCATCTCCACCTCCCCACATTTCGTTGAAATTTGTTGGACATTTTATTTATATATATATATATATATATATATATATATATATTTGACAAAAGGCATTTTATTTATATTATATACGACCAAATTTTATAGCAATTATTATTTCAAGCAGAATATATAAACCATATGCTTTATATATGAGCTTCTATGTATAGATTAAAATCTTATATTTGTGCACATGCGTAACTATAAGAAAGCTTAATTTGTTATAAATTATATAAAGATGTGTTAAGTTGTTACGATATATGTATATAGATGATTATAGATAGTTTGAGTTTATGTAACATTATTTTATTATTTGAGAGCTGTATTTGTTATGAAATAAAATATTTTACTTAAAGAGTTAAAAACTATGTTTTTGTTAAAGTTCTCTAGTTAAGTTTATGGATAATAACAATAATAACAAAGGGTTTATATTTTAGATGATCCATTCGGATATATTTATAAAAAAAAAAACATACGTAACCAATAAATTAATCTTTGACGTTATTTAATTGAAAACCGTGGTCAACAACGCGATCCGCTGGTTGGAATATTTATATTCGTTTTTTTTTTCATGCATTGACCCAAGAAATCCATCCACACCGACCAACTCGGTGCAGATAGTTTGTCTTATAATCAACCCGTAAGGTGTATGAACATTTTGCATCTTAAAACTATAAAAGCAATGTCTCCAATAATTGCCTTTTGACTATTCAAACCCCATACTCTTTTTTTTCTGTAGCTTTTCTTTTAATAAAAAAAATATCTATATTTTTTTATTCTATCTCTTTTATATCTATATTTTTTCAACATGTAGATATTGGTTTCTCAAATATATTATTATCCGTTTTATAATTTGGTTATTTATTTTAGCTAAGTGGGTGGAGAGAGGATCTTTGCTTTAAAGCAAAGATACGTATCATATGTGCATCTGTTTTTTTTTTCTCCCCACCTTTGTCGGAAGGTCCTTTTCCCGGTCTCGTCGGCTGTTCCTTTGACCGTTCAAAGCCCATGTGTGGATTCTCACTCGTGGCCGTGGGTGACAAATACATGTGACTTGAAACAAATTTCTTTCACATTGTCTAAAACCATATGAACATATTGAAATGATTTTAATCAACACAAATAGTTAATCCCATGGGATTTTCTTGAACATTTGTTGTGGTTACACTTTATTGAATAGAACAAATATTCTTATACACACATATATATATATATATATATATATATATATCAGTTTAAATTCAGAACGTATTTATGGAAAAGACATAAGATTTATATTCCACGATATTTATCAAAACTACTAAGATATTTTTATTATTTTCTAACAAAAAAACCCCTCTAATATTATCAAGTTACATGAACATGAACATGATATATCAAAATTTCGTTTTAAAAAAAAGTATAGCAGATCATACGACCGTGTGATTTGAATCTGGTTGAGGTCCATGGGGATTCTAGGAGACATGCGTGTCGGCTTTCTGAGATATAAACGACGTGTCGTTCCTTTTCCCATTTCTCACATGGAAGCCAGTGCACGATTTGCTGCACGGCAGTTCGTCCGCGTCCTCCCAGCCAATAAGAATCGCCAAGGGAGATCATTCATCCAATGAAAACGCTCCACGTGGAACATCTACGTCTCTTCTCGCGCCTGTGACATGGCCAATAACTTCCCCTTGCAAGCGGCGAACTTTCATACTCTCCGATTCCCGCATTTCATGATTTGATCTCTCGGGAATTCCAAATCGGACGAATCAAGGAATTGCCAAGTTTCAACCTTCTCCGGAGAATTGGGCTGCGTAATCAGAGGATCGCGGGGGGTGATCGCGATGGAGGCTCACGGTGCAGGATTCCGGCGTGTTCTGTTGTTGGCGTTCTGTGTCTCTGGGATCTGGGCCGCGTATATCTACCAAGGTGTTCTCCAAGAGACTCTGTAAGTGCATTTTTCTGTGGGTTGGTGTCGTACTTGCTCGTTGATGATCTCGCCATTGTTTGGGTCGGTTTATCGAGGGGAATCGGTGCGAATTCGTTGCTTTTCTCGGAACCCTATTCTGCATTGTGGTTGGCGAGAATGTTCAATGTTTCGCTTTTGTATTACTTGTTTATGGCTGGAATTAGAAGGGATTTTGGTGTAGGAGTTAGTTGTTGATAAAAAAAAAATTCATATTTTCCTTCTGAATTTAGGTCCACGAAGAGATTCGGTCCAGATGGGAAGAGGTTTGAGCATCTAGCATTCTTGAACTTGGCGCAGAATGTAGTATGTTTGGTCTGGTCTTATATAAGTAAGTCTTCATGTCTTCTCTATATATTGTCTGTTCACTGAATTGTTGCAAACGAGAGTGATGGTGAATTGTGGGGCTGAAACGTTTTCATTTCCCTTCTGATTATGAGCAGTGATCAAGCTCTGGTCTAATGGTGGAAGCGGTGGTGCTCCATGGTGGACTTACTGGAGTGCTGGCATTACCAATACGATTGGTCCAGCAATGGGCATTGAAGCCTTGAAGTATATCAGTTACCCAGCTCAGGTGACTTTACTTATGCCAGATCATTAGTACTTTGACTTAATCAATTTCCATTTTAAGCTTTTCTTAGGGATGTTGGCAGTGTATTCCTCCTCCTCCATGGTCGATGTAGTTGATTTTTCAGCTAAAGGGACTTCCTTTGGTTTATTAGTGCTTAGGTTCTGGTTTTAATCCTTTCTTAGGTAGCTAGCGTTATGGTGAGAGCTATAATTCTTTTCACATGGGATTGATGTTGATCTTGCTTCCACTGCAGGTCTTGGCCAAATCTTCAAAAATGATTCCAGGTAAATGATCCAATTAGAGTTTCAATTGAATTATTATTGAAGAAAACGATGTTTTGTTCAATGTGTGGAAAGATCATGAACACGGATTTATCATATGGTTTCTCGAGATTTTCCTGTTTAACTTATATGTGCTTCGTCTTCTTCTTCATGCAGTTATGCTGATGGGCACCTTAGTGTATGGCATAAGATACACTGTCCCCGAGTATATTTGTACCCTCCTCGTTGCTGGAGGAGTATCTATGTTTGCTCTCCTCAAGGTAGTTTAACCTACAATTGCTTTTCAAAGATTATATTTTTAGCTTTCCCTATGCTCGTCTCGAGAACCGTTTTTAAGTGCCTTTGAATTTTTTTCAGACAAGCTCCAAGACAATCAGCAGACTAGCTCATCCAAATGCGCCCCTCGGTTATGGGCTTTGCTTCTTGAACCTCGCCTTTGACGGATTCACAAACGCCACCCAGGATTCTATTACCGCAAGGTATGATCCAACAGTCTTCTAATCGAAGCTACGCAGAACAACATCAACCCTCCTTTTCATTTTCCATGTAAAATCTCCGTATATGATCGTGTGGATGAAATCGGCAGGTACCCGAAGACAAATGCATGGGACATAATGCTGGGGATGAACTTATGGGGCACAATATACAACGTGATTTACATGTTTGGGTGGCCAAACGCAATGGGATTCGAAGCCGTCCAGTTCTGCAAGCAACACCCAGAGGCGGCATGGGACATTCTCATGTACTGTCTGTGCGGAGCAGTGGGCCAAAACTTCATCTTTCTGACAATCAGTAGATTCGGGTCTCTGGCAAACACAACCATTACCACGACACGCAAGTTTGTGAGCATCGTTGTCTCGTCGGTCATGAGCGGGAATCCGCTGTCGTGGAGGCAGTGGGGATGCGTCTCGATGGTGTTTGGTGGGTTATCTTACCAGATTTACCTCAAATGGAGGAAGCTGCAGAGAATGCCCAAGAAGAAAAAACCTTGAATTTATTTATTTTTCCCTTCCAAGGTGTTGGATTTGTTTTAACCTGTGCTCTTGTTCTCGCCTCTATATAGTCGAAACACCATCATTTGTACACTTGAGAAGCTTATCTAAGTTTAGATTAAATGCATATTTTGCAAGTCTGTATACCATATAGCGGTTTGAACCACTTTGTCCATGTGACCACACTGATGCTTTGCAACAAAAAATAACATCAGTGAGATTTAAAATTTAAACAAAAAAAAAGTGCTTTTAGAAAAGACAATGATTGCGTCTCTGTCTTCCACTACTACCCACCATTTTTAACCTCTTCACCACTTGTCTTCTCCGACCATTTCATCAGAACAATGCGCGACCAGTTCCGAGGAAGAACACGAACCAGGTCTCATTTCCCACTCCTTGTATTCTCATCAGCGTTGATCTCTCTCTGTAACTCGTGTCGTGTTCCTTGTCCGGTGATGATAAAGCTAGAATGCTCAGGCTTCCGGTCTGATCCTTCTAGGGTTTCGTGATGGAGAATTCCGTACAAAGGTCGGCGTACAGAGGTACTTGCACGCTTTACATATTCCGATATATCACACCGAAATCAAAATCATATTTCCACTCAGATATATAAGGGTTTTTTTTTACATCACGTTTGTCGGAGAGTGAGATCATATGGGAGGAGAAACAACGAAGGGCTTATTTCCTATGTCACCTCAAAACAAATGGTGGGATGGGAGGGAACCAAAAGCTCCTTCCTTTCCCTCTCTTTTGCTCCACCCATCTGAAAATCTTGCTCCTTTCCTTCCTCTCCTCTTGTTGTTGTTTTTTTTACCATATGCAGTAGTAAGGCGAGATGCCTGAGGATTTTCTTAGTTACACTCTGAAACTTCTATGTAACATCTCATAGGTTCTGTACAAAGATCAGGAAAAAAACCAATCAAGAATCCATGGATTGTCTGGATGATGTATCCAGCAACCCAAAAGACTAAACAAAAGAATCTTTTTTTGACACACACACTCACACATGAATGAAGAAGATTGAAGATGCACACTGAGCCTTTTTCGACGGCATCAGTATGCGGAAGAAGCTCAGAACACTAGTGGTTTTCGAGAGTGTTCTGAGATGGTCTAGAATGTACCCTAACATTCTAGACCAAGAAGACAATTTGAAAATCCTGAGGAAGGAATGCAGATCATGGCATGCCCGCTTCACAAAAACTCTCAGGCCGAAATGGCTGCAAACCTAGGAATCTAAGGAAAAAAACAAAACTCGGGGAAATGGATGGGGATGACACAAGAAAGATGGGAGATTTGACGGCTCCATTAGGACAAAACATGGGTTTTAGGCTGTTGATTAAGGTTTTGTGTTTGTGATATATGGGATCAGAGAGGTTGGTTGTTTTATAAGCTATGAAGGAGGACTCTTTTGCAAGGAGGTGGTTGTGAAGGATTGGCACTTGGACAAGGGGATGGGGACTCGATCCCGAGTGTTTTTAGCAAGAAGTTCCTCTCCTGCAAAAAGTAAAACAAATATAAAATGTAAAATGTATGTCAAAGCGGTGAAGGAATTCCATTTACCAAACAGTTTAATCCAATCTTATCTACTAGCTTGACAATATGTAATTTCTAGTTTACTGTTATATGATAAACTTAGATGGTAAACAAGTTTACGTTAACAGGTGTAAGCTTACACTTTCAGAGAATTGAGGGCTTGGGATGCCCGCTGCTAGAGATCTGAACAATGGAGTGACCTGAAGAGGTGAGCTGAATTCTTCTTCTCCTGAGATGGGCACAATCTCATCAGGGTTTTTGGGGATCTCGCAACTTGAGAGTAAATCTACAGCAGGAAGGACGTCAAGATTTCTCATCAATTCAAGTGTTAGATCATATAGGTTTTCTAATGCCTAAGGTCAGGGAAAATTTCCTCCTTGCCTTGATCTACATTTGCATTAGACACAATCCCTTTATTCTTTTCGGACAGACAGGCTTGTAACTTTGCTCCATCTTGTTCATGTGTTGACTCAGTCTCAGGCAGTGTTTGTTGTGTTTTATCGCCAGATTGATGCGGCATGATGGTTGATCCTGTACTATACTCAGAGCTGGCTGGGGAATCGTGGAGATCAGGTTGCCTATGGAAGATCGGTGACTAGTCAGACGCTCTGAACCATAAGGTAAAGCCAAAACCATGCATAGAAAATTGAAGTGTGGGTGAATGGAAGTAATATTTACCTCCAAGATGGTTGACTCTCTTCATTGCTACTCCTTGGGTTCTCTACCAGATCTTTAAACCCCTCCAGTTGAAAATATATGTCTGGGATTCCATATCTGAATATGTCATTGTCCTTGCTTTTGTTCAAGAATTCTTGGAGGACCTTGAAATTATATATAACAAGACTAAAGTTAGACTCATCATCTCGTGTTGGAGATTATAGCAACTGATAAGCTCAGAGATAAGAACTAAGCCACTTCACTGAGTGATTACAGAGCAACCAGACGGCAATGTGAGGGACATCTGTGTTTTTTAGTTTACCTTCCAGGCATTCTCCATGCTTTGATCTGTATTGTCTGCATTAACTTTCAGCGCCAATGAATTGAGAAGCTCAGCTTGTTGCATCAAAGCCGTCACCTTTGGATCATCCTTTTTAAGAAACACCCCTTGAGCACCTTTATCCTGAGCTGTTAGCATGGCATATCCTAAAACGCTTAGGACTTATTCAAGCTGTAGAGTAAAAGGATCAAATGCTGCTTCTGATTAACGATCTTGCTTCGATTTTACTTATGCCCTCCTAGATATTTTCCAGGATATGCAACAACAGGAGGGGTTTGTGCAGAGTTGTTTACCATCAATCTCCTTCAGAGTGCCGGTTTGATTCTGTTCCTCCAAGCTATCAAGACCAGTGCCATTCCGGGCTAACACAGAAAATGGAGATCTAATCTGCTGGTTCACGCCTGACTCGACCTTTCCATATGACATGTCCCCACTGTGATTGATTGTTGTAAGATCAAGAATGTGGCTTATCCTGGAAACCATCGACAAGAACATGCAATCTCAACAACATTTCTTTTGTTTTTTTCATTTTTTTGGATTTGATGAACTAAAGAATACTAAGTTACCTCGTCTTCTTAGCAAGAGGGGCCTCTGTTTCGGATTTTCCTTGAGCACTGATACCATCTGGGAACAGCATTCTTTTGTTGTTTGAGTTGACACAAGCGTTCATGTTCTCTTTGGCTACGGCTTCATACTTGGCTCTCTTCTTACACAGTGTTGTGAACCGGTTCTTCACTGCGTTATCAGTTCTACATCACAAGAGAAGAACATTTAGTTGAACCCCCCACCCCACTGTCTCAATCAGGACAATATCATTCACCATGAGAGAGTTTGAGCAGAGCTTTTGTTCTACCTGCCTGACACCACCTTTGCTATCTCAGTCCATCTGTTCCCAAATACTCTCTGTGCCTGCACCCATAAAAAAACACAGAACAGAGCTAAAGATCAGACAAAACTGTGAAACTACAGGAGTTGTCATGAGCACCACCACCTAATGTTATCCATGTAATAAAGTGATGACCTCACCTCACACAAAAGCACGTCTTCTTCAGGGGACCAACCTCCTCTCTTGAAATCAGAGTTCAGATATGTATACCATCTGCAATTATCCATAATCGGATCAAACATCTGAAACTAATAAAACCCAGAAGATTTTATAACATAAATGAATCAGGGATTCATGATCATTGATAGAATCGATTCGCCTACCTTCTTCTGCACTGCCTTGTGGTTTTGTCCTTGAACTTTGAGGCGATGATCGCCCAGCTTCATATAACATCAAAACACATCAGAACAATAGGTTCTAAAAGAAGCCCACCCATCAAAACAACGGGAAATCAAAGAAAGACTCTCACTTTTCGGTTCCGTGTAATTTTATTTGATCTCTGAGAATATCATCCTCCTGCAGCTCGCGAAACCCACATCAGAAACAGTCGGAATCAGAGGTAAAACAGAGTTCATCAGGCACTGTCGTGTATCAGTGTATATATCTATATATATGCGCGTGCTCATATATGGGGTGTATATATGTATGTCGGAAAAAGGAGCAGACCTCTTGTGTCCAAGTAACAATATGACGCTCCTTCTTCTTGGATTCTTCGTTATTATTACCGTTCCTCTTCTTCTTCATCTCTTGCATATTCTTCTTCTTTACCTAACCCTCCCTCCCTCTCTCTCTCTCTCTCTCTCTCTCTCTCTCTCTCTCTCTCTCTCTCTCTGTTATTTCTCTATTGTTTTCTTCGACGCTCCTTCGCCTTTATTAAAACCCAACTCTCAATCCTACAGACCCCTCAACTTTTTTTTTCTTATCGGAAAAAAAAAATCAACTTTTTTGGGAAAAATCGAAAAGAAAAATCTAAAAACACTCTGAAAAGGAACACATTTTATCACCCACGAGCTTTCTCCGCTGGAATAAATTCCTCGGATTCGAAATTTCAGAAAGATCGAATTTTTCCAAAACGAGAAGGGTTTGAATGGAAAAAATTCGGAGATTTTTTTTTTTTCCGAAAACAGGGATCAAAGATGCCTTTTTTTTCGTTCACGATTCATGAAACAGGGCTCATGAACATGGGTTTTCATTTTTAAAGATTTTGATAAGTCGGAGAAAGAAAATGACGCCAAGGGGAAAGATTTGAGATTTTTCAAACTCGAGATGCCATTGAAGTGAGAGGGACGAGTGATCTGTATCCGCTGTTTATTTCTTGCATTCTCTCTCCACATGAATCTTTTAGAACTCTCTCTCTCTCTCCTCCCTCTAAATATTTATTCAACAATTTTAATTTTTAAGAAAAATTTCCAAAAAAAATAAAAATAAAAATAAAAGAAAGAAAGCCAACGGAAAATAGGGTTAGTGCGCGGGTATGAAGGGAAGTTTGAAAAATAACGCTGAAATCCATGTCGATGAGTGCCTCATTAATGCCCCTCTCCACCATACCTTCCTCCTCCCCCCTATTTCTTTTTTTCTTTATATATATATATATATATGTATATATATATATTATTCAATTTATTTATTATTGCATCCATGCCGTTGCGTTAACCATTTAAATATGAGGTTACAAGTTTCCTTTTGTTTACTAAAATATTCTATCACTTTTAAAAGCTCGCCTTGTTTTATACACAACCGTGGTTGTTTCCCCATCTTATTAGCATGTCTAGAACTTCGTGGTAAAGATGATTACGTTATAGGGTCTTGCGAGATCGGACGTTTAGACTACGAAACCTTTCAAATATATATATATATAGT